ATTCTGGGCTAATTATCTAAGTTTACCAGCTTACCTTTCGTGATACGTCCACAAGAGTGGGAGAGTAAAACCGAACGTTATAAAGTTGGCTACCATACAGTGTTCACCTTCTCATTGGGATAAGTTGCCTTAACTGAGAGAGTGCTTTAGGTGAGCCGTCTACTTTTCACACAGGAATTGATTTTGGCAAGCAGAACCCTACTGCAACCTGAAAAAAACATGATTATTTAGTTCAAATCACCACTGCATGAAATGCGATGTTTATTTGGCGTACAAGCAGTTATTTGAAGGCCAGACAAATCAAACCTACAATTCCGGTACTCGATGATCTCGAACACAAGCTCGATATAAACATTCAAGATTCCAGGTCAAAGATTTTGCCTGCCTGTCTATTAGAAACACCGCAGTAGCGTGAACATAGGCTTAATCTATCACTGTTGTTACTGCCAGGCTGTAGTTTGCAGTGTGCTGAAATGCGATTGTAGTACGTGTGACAGATTATGACTTTTTCCACACATTAACGGCTGTTGCCTGATTCATGCATTTATGTGGAAGCTACAGTATGCTCCGTCAGTTCTCGTTCTCAGACCGTCTGTCGACGAACCAGATGTACACAGACGTTTTCAGTGTTCTCTAGTTTACGCTGTTTCTGTGGATCCTATGAATCCTTGATTAGATTAGCCGTGATGGCATGCTGGCTAATCTGAGTTCACGATAGGTGTGATATCTAGGATAGATACATACAGATAAGTATGGTGTCATGCGCATTTATTGTGCACTTCTTGTCCTTTGTGTGACATCGATGCATACGTGATTCAGGTATCTGACGTAAGCCTTTGTTCGCGCAGAATTTCCCTTCAAGTTGATATCACAGTTAAGGTTTTGTCAAATTCAGTACACACCATCACACTAATTACTGAGGTCGCATATTAACTGAAGTTTAAACGCACAAACAGGATTGTGTAAGTTGTCCCTTACAGAAAACTTTCGACAGCTCTTATAGGTAAAGTTTCACTAACTAACTTATGAAATTATTTACAATACAAAATGCACGTTAACTAGGAATACTGCGTCATTGAACGCCATACTGATAGAAAATATTCACTCATCATGGTATCTTTTAGCGAGGTAATACCGTTACTGACTGACTGCTATAAGTTGGTGTTATTTTCCCAAACGTTTTAGTTTTTATAATTTTTAATCATTCAGTTATAGACAATTTCAACCTTGTGCAAAACATCCTATACAGTGTGGCCCAATGGTATCTTTTAGGTTATGTATTTGCTTCTGTATACTTCAAGGTGATTTGTCGTGGCATCCTTCGGAAGTAAGATGACCTAATTGACTGGAGCCTTGTTTAAGTGTGTCCCCGATTAGTGGCAAACAGTGTGAGCAATAGTCCGGTTTCTTTTGATGCCCACTTGAACTCACGTATATCTGCCGACGCCATTCAGTATAATGTAACCCACAACATCAGTTGAAATTTTTCTTCAAGAAACATCCTATCTAATATTTTTTATATCATTTGAGACTATAACTAATTTAGTGTTAAATGTGGTACAAGTATCAAAAGTCTGGAGTTCGGCTACATTCGAGTCAGCGATAGTTCATCTTTTACGCGATACGTGGCATACCAACTGAAAAACGAATCTGCGTAGAGGACCCAGAAGCTTCCCGTACGTATTTGGTTGCCTACCCAACTCACTGTGTTATGTGGTTCGGGGAGTAGATTGCCTTGAGCGTTGCTCGAGCATTTGGAATCCACAAACGCTACCGTTAAGCTTTACAATAGTATCATTAATGAGAGTTGTGATAAATTTAATGACTTAACTCTGACGAGGTGGGTGAATAACCAATAAGAAATGTGGGTTTGTCGAATTTGACTGGTAGAGCACATACCGCGGGAGAGCATCCAGTTCCCTTCTGTCGTTTCAGAAAAACGAAAGTAGAGTTCAATAGCGTTGCATACTCGCTAATCTTCAAATATATACTATGTTACTGATGTGTTCGTCGCTTTGTAATGTGTTCGAATCAACTTCGTTTCAGTTGTTCTTCCCATAAATTGAATCAGACCATCAGCTTAGACAAACGCATCGAATGCTGTATAGAACGCTTACCATGTTATCTATAACAAATTTGACCGTGTTTACTGCCACGATGAATTGAAGTAGCGATAAATGGTCCTGCTGTTGAAAACCGGGAAAGAAATGTCACAACACCACCTCAAGTTGAGCCATCATTTGTTTCGTTGAACAAGTGAGTTGTAGTGAAAGGGACTTGGATGTCACATTATCTCGATGTTTTTATGATGGTAGAAAACGTCAGACTGAGGTAATTGAGGAAGGTTTAGTGTACATTGTGATCAGTGCAATCCAGTTTACTGAGTGATTTTGAAGATGGTATCACAATGAAGACTGCTGAATTGTTGGGACGATAGAATCAACATGCTGAACCAACTGGTGGCCAGAAGTTCCTTGGAAGCAAGCAGGTTCGCTTCCAGTGTGGCATCTTCTAGCAAATGGTTATAACCTAAGGTAAACGGTGACCTCACGTAATCGCAACACTTGTTTAGTGTATGTCATGTCATGCGAACGTCTCCCTCAAACTGAGTAAAACCTTTCAAAACAGTTGTTTGCTCGAATTGCGGTTAGACGATTACAACGGATAAAGCAAAAAGACGGGGGTGTTTTAGTTTTGCTATGCAAAAAAAGACGAACACACAATTTGAATCAGCTAACGTATTCACGATGATAAAGAAATTCAGCTGCGATGGAGGATTCGTCAGTCAGACTTTCAACGTTAAATTGTTGTCCAGCTTGCTGGATTGCTCTCATGCTCTCCAAGTGTAATGGTAGTCCAGGATTCTGAGAGGCGTGCAAATGTAGATTCAGTTCAGCTTGCAAATCACTGACGTGATCTGTTCTTGACTGTTATATTTTACTAGCTTTTCTGCGTAGTCCTCTGAGCACATGTAGTGGGTTCAGTTCACACGAAGTGTATCTAACATCTTGCATGTACAAAGTTTCCATTGAAAGGCACAAATCAAGGATGTCATCAAGCATACAGTTAGCTGATCGGAGCAATCAATAACTTGATGAGTGTGAACAAAAAATTCCGTAGAGGTTCACACGACTTGAAAAGTTTCTTGGACGGCATTGACGACGACGCACTTTGTGAACAAAATACTCGGTTGTAAGTTGTTGACTGTTGTAGTAAACCTAAAAGAGTCTTAATAACACAGTGATCAGATCCTCTTAACGAGGCAACATGGCAACCGCCTAACATATGATTACATCGGACAACTCCATGAAACGTAAAATTCAAGTCAGACGAAACCAGGTCTCAGGTAAAGCATGGAATAAAACTGACTGAGGTCACCGACGAATTCACGCGATGGATATGTAATAGCCATCAGAGGAGGAACCAGAAATTGATTAGCAAATATACTAAGATCTACTTCGGTACACATGGACGTTAGGTAACCGTTGGCGACAAAAAGTCTTATGTTTGTGATAACAGAAGTAAAAATTATTGTAGAATAATTGTAAATAACTGTTTCAGGAACAATAGGTAATTCAAAGATGCTCCAGTGACGAAAAATCTAAGCTACTGTTGGATTTAAACCAGCGACAGAAGCAGTGCGCCTAGACGCGGTAACAGCTGTATCAGGCAAAATACGAAGCCATGCAGAAATCTCAAAAATTCCACTTTTGGACTCAGTTATCTCACTCCCCCCTCCAAACCCACTGTCTCATACAGAATCCAACAAATAATCCAGAGACTGACTGTGAAAACAGAATAGTTTAGATGGCCCCGAGGAAATCCCATTGTGAGATGCCACGTCTGAGTATGCTGTGTCTGTGGGTGCTGGTCCCCATTCCTAGTGATGAAATCTGTCTGTCCACCTCCTCTGTTTACTTAACATTTACCGTATTATGTCCTGTAAAACTGGCAAAGTTTGCTTTAATTATTATCTTGATTTGTTTGCCCAGAACATGTCACGTGATATGAGGTAACTCACCCTTGAAAAGATGAGTCGTTCACCTGATCTTAGTTATTATTGCTTATGCTTACTCACTGAGCACTATGTTTTCCTCACGTGGCGATCTGTTTTACACCTTCAACTCTGACTGTTGTGCAGATACTGAAAGTGGTTGGGCCTGGTAAAAATTGAGCTTTGTGAACAAACCTATATGAAGCAGTTGACTGCCAAGAAAGGGAGTGAACTACGTCAGTGTATGTTGTCTGTTAATTCTTTGATGGAAGGTGTGTATGTGCAGTGTCTGTTATCGGGTCGTTATTGAACCTCTGGAAATCCCAGTTGTAAAAATCAGCGTTACGATCACTTCGAAGTTTCTTGCTTAGAATTATCTACCACCTGATGTGAAGTAGTTTAATTCAATTTATCCAACCCTCCGACCCACCCTTCTCCACAGCCCGCAATCCGTACACCACTCAGGGCGCGCAGCTTGAAAAAATCCAGTGAAGATAACAGCATGCGCTTCTCGTGGACCAAACGACATGACTAAGTGATTTGTTATTTCCGGCCTGGTGTATAATCAACCAGTATGAACACGACTCCGACCCGGTCTTTCTAAATCCTCTGTGGAATTTTCTTATAACCTGACCTCGTATGAAACATTAGGATCTATCTGCTAACTTGCATAACTCTATATATGTACAAAAACAACAGAATATTGCGTAATGTTGTTGTTTCATTTTATAGGGGCAAGTAGCCAATCCGCGTTCACTGGTCGGCACATCAAACAATACGCATCAGGTGAACTCGGTCTCAAAGTTATTGCAACTACAATGCAGAAGTTCTAGATGTTAGGTAAATTGCGTTCGAACGAAAGCCACTAGAACATATTGTGGCCTGGGTTTTCACTGAGAGATTCAACTCGATGTAGTATGCAAATTAGTCGACTGAGAACGATGACCTTGATACAGAAGGTCAAAACTATGTAATATCTTAGATGAGACCCAACTGTGAAAAGTCAGGGCTTCGGCTGGATTCGAACCAGCGACAGAAACACCATGTCTCAAAGGGACAAGCGCTCTACCAACTGAGCTACGAAGCCACACCAGGAGCTCGGAAATTTCACATTTGGACTCGGTTATCCACCCGTCTGTAACGTACTTCGATTCAACCAGTTTCAAGCATTGTGTAATGCAGTCTGTGGACTGACACGCAACCTGACTTTAAAACGTTACAATATTGCTTTTCATACATATGATTATTGCATATCAAGACCGAAAACGTATAAACAAGTCTGTGATTGAATATTATCCTCCATATATGTTGCATGTACGGTTATCATAAGTTGCCCCTGAAAGGCAAAAGTAACCTCGACAACAGAAAAATACCCTGGTCTACTGTACGGTTGGCATAAGGATGACTCAAAAGGTTTACCTGAATGTAAAAAGATTGTATTAATTGTGAATGGTGTTCAATTTCACTCAACCAAATCTTCAAACAGTTGTCTAACTATATACGGTGAATTCCGTTTAATTCTCTGCTCGATTCGACCACAAATATTGACCAATTACATAGGGAAGCAAGCTAAGAGAAATCCGTCTGTTTTCTGGTATCTAACAACGAAAGGAACTTGGTGTGGATAGATGCTTATGCAAATATGATTGGTCGAAGTTTATTATATTTCTAGTAGTTCACTAATGAGCACAACGTGATCGTTAAGAATATTGGCACTTACTCATCTGTATCAGTAATTAGAATTTTCATCCTCACAAACATTGTCAGTGGCGAACTGGTCATGGTCAACTACTTCATCCATCACTTGTGTCATGTGACCAAAATACATGGTCACACTAAACTACGCACATGTTATCACCACTGCCGTTCGCTCACTTGTCTGTTTACGCAAGGAGCTCAAACAATATTCGTTAGACCGACGATCGGCAATTAAGCATATGCAAATAACTGTTGTCAATTAAACACACAAGTGGCTATACAGAACGCCCTGCAGTGAACCGGTGAACACCATGATGGGGAACACTGACAAAAAGCAACCCGTATATACACATAACCTCGACTAAGACCTTTCGATTGATCCAACA